TTTTTCTTAATGCTTCCTCTTTTAAATGCTACAAAAATCTATGTCACAGATTGCAAAAATAATCTGGCAGTGTTCACTTTTCCTTACAAGTTTCAGAACATTTAATGTGTAGAACCTACTGGAGCACCATCTTTCCCATGATACTAACTACCTGGCCAGTTCTTTGGACTGAAGGAAGGACAAACTTGACTGAGATGTAGCAAACAATGTATGATAGTCTTCATTAAAAAAGTCCACCTGTTTCTCTGCAAACAGAACAAACCACCTCTTCACTGCATCTACAACATTGCCTTTTGCCTTGGATGTAACATACAAGTGTAATCAATGTTGAAATAAAAAAACCCAAACAAACCAACCCACAAACTTATATGCATGCAAAGTTTAGATATCTAGATTCAACTGCATGGAAGTAAGTAATTCAGTATCCCTGATCGACTATGCACTGCTGCCTCATTTACTTACTGGCATACAGCCAGCTTCAAAGAATTGCTGTCACTATCGTTAGACAACTAATATGATTTTCTGAAATTATATATTTAAAGGAAAATGTCAAACCCAATATTTTCAGAAAGGATGTAGAAGCAGGAACATGCTAGTTGGGAAAGAGCCAGCAACAGCCACAACTGCTTGTCACAAAGCCTCTTCAGCAAAAGCATGATAATACACGTTCCACTGCTTACACACCACAGGCAAAAATAAACTACTTGTGAAATTATGAAAAAAAGCATTTTATAGGTTGTGATTGGCAACTGATGAAGTGACAAGTTCCAAAATTTGTCATAAGTCTGAAACACATTCTAAATAAAAAATGAATACATGGTGTTTGTCAGAGATGTACAAAGAGTTCAGAAGTTAAAAATCTGACTCTTTATAAGAAGTAGATACAATTTCAGTCATGTTCATGACAGTTCACTAATAAATAGAGGAATACTTTTTTTTAAACCCACCTTTTACTTTTCATTCCAAATGAATGGGCACAGTCACTTAGATATACAAGTTTCTGATTGCTCCCACAAATCAGATATACTAACATTTCAGTGACAATTATAATCAATTATTTACTGAACAACTGACAATCAAGCAAAAAACTGGAAAATCCTATCTAAGTACGAGTCTTTTCACAATTTGATACTTAGGTCAACTTTTAATTGAGTTCGCTTTATTTTTCTTTAAATGTATACATCTTTCATTATGAACTTTTTATTAGCTATTTCAAATTTTACTTAATATAGTCTGAAGTGAGAAAAATATTGCATTACAAACCATCTGTACTTACAGCACTTATGGATGGCAATTTTCTATTGTCAACATAAATTTTCATCTCTGAATAACAAATTCAATACAACACCAATACAATTCTTTGACTGCTATGATGTTCATTGCAATGCTATACCTCGAGCACGTCTTCATGGTTGACAATTGTTTTTGTGTTCTGCAAGGTTTTAACAAGTGCAGTCATCTGTGAATTTGCAGTGCTGTGCTCAGCTTCTGGTTCAGTAGGCT